GAGAGGAGAGGAGAGGAGAGGAGAGGAGAGGAGAGGAGAGGAGAGGAGAGCAGGAGAAGAGAGACTCCTAGATCAGCAGGGTAGAATTGTAGGGGCCCTTTGAGATCACTGAGTCTGAGCCTCTCATTTTACAGATGAGGAGACTGAGTCTCACAGAAGCTAAGTGACTTGCCCACAGTCTCCCAGCTATGAAGTAATGGGGCAGGATTCAATTCCAGCTCTGGTTTCTGGCACCGTCTTCTGTACCCGGGGTTCCTGGAGAGAAGACTCCTGAGCCAGGCTGGAGGGCCCCTTGGGGCAGGGTGGCTTTGGATAGGATGCCCCAGGAATGAGGGGGCTCTTTCTCCCTCGTGGTCTGCTGGGGGCATCCCGAGGCAGAGGTGGCTTCTACTGAGCAGTATAGAAGCCGAGCAGGGCAGAGCAGGGCCCCCGGGAGCCCCCCGGGGTACTCACCATCCAGGTGCCAGCACTAAGGTTCTGCAGAGCCCCAGCCGCGGCCTCCAGGGTGTTGAAGTTCTGGCTCTCAGTGAGGATGGAGAGGTAGAGACGCACCACCTCGGGCTGGTAGAGCAGTTCGAAGCCTGGGGAGAGAGAGGGAAGCCAGGTCCGTGAGCCCTGCCCCCTCCCTGGGCCTGCAGGGGCCTCCCACCAGCTCTGCCTCCAGGTTCCCCCTCTCCCCCTGCCCCTCTAACCTGCCCACGCCGAGGCAGAGAGGGCAGCTACCTCCGGGAGGGGGAGCCCAGGGCCTGAGCTGCACTCTGGTGGGGAGGGGCTGGCGCCCAGAGCCAGGGCAGGGGGGGGGCACACACAATGCCCTGGGGGAGCCGATTCAGCCTAGGGGGAAGGCAGAGGACAGAGACATCGCTGGGGACCTGGGGCACAGGCCAGAATCTCCCCCCGATCCAATTCAGCCCCGGAGACACCAGCATTGTGTGGCCCAAAGCCCAGGATCTCACAGCTGGGAGAGAACCCTGGACCAGGAGAGAGAGGACCTGAGATCAAGTCCTGCTCTGCCGCTTCCTAGCTACGTGGTGACCCTGGACAAGTCACTTCCCTCCTGAGGCCTCAGTTTTCTCATCTGAAATGAGGCAGGGTTGACCAGATGATCTCTAAGGACCTCCCCTTTATGATCTCAGACGTATCTTGTCCAGGACCAAGAATCTCCCTGTAGCGGCTAGGGGTAGAGCCACACAGAGTGCTAAGCCTGGAGTCAGGAAGACCCGAGTCCAAATCCAACCTCAGGCACGTCCTAGCTGTGTGACCCTGGGCAGGTCACACCATTGCCGCCTGCCTTAGTTTCTTCATCTGTGAAATGGGTACAATGCTAGCATCATCCTCTCAGGGTTGTGGCGAGGACCAAATGAAATGCTATTTGCCAACCTTACAGCACTACACACATTTTTTCCTTTAAGCTAAACTGTCCCCAGGGCCTTTACTTGATCTCATGTTCTCATTCTGTGATGCCCGAGCTGAGTGTGCTTGGCCCAGGGCCTGGCATACAGTAAGCAGTCAATCAATGCTCTTTCTCTTGAGTGATCAAATCCTTCTCAAAAAAAATTGTTTTCTGAGCTGCAAGGAATTAAGTGCCTCGGGGCCAAGCCCCACCGTCCTCCCCACGACTCGGGGATGCTTTGGCTTTTGTTTGGTCATTTCAGTCCTATCTAGCTCTTCGTGACCCCACTGACCAAGACACGGGAGTGGTTTGCTCATTTGACAGATGAGGAAACCGAGGCCCTTGGCTGAGTGAGCTATCCACAGCCGTATGGCTCCCAAGAGGCCTTCCAGACGTCTGAGGCCACCACTCTGACTGTGGATAGGACGTGTGAGCATGAGTGGTGGGGAGCCAACCATCACAGAGATGAGATGCCTTGGCCTCGGGGCCACTATATGACCAAGTGGATGGACTGTTGTACTTGGAATCTTGAAGACCTCAGCTAAAATCCTGCCTCAATATTGGTCAGCTGGGTGACCTCTGGGCAAGGCACTTAGAACGCCTCTCAGCCTCACTTTCCTTATCTGTAAAATGTAGGTAATAAGAACATTTCCCAGGGGCAGCTAGGTGGCGCAGTGCAGAGAGCACTGGCCCTAGAGTCAGGACCTGAGTTCAAATCTAGCCTCAGATACTTACTGCTGTGTGACCCTGGGCAAGTCACTTAACCCTGACGGCCTACAGAAAAAAAAAAGCACCTCCCTGGTAGGGTTGTCAATATCAAATGAGATAATCTATGTAATCTATGTGCTCTGTAACCTTAGAATGCCATGTAAATGCCATGATTATTATTATTATCATTGCTGTTAATGTGGTGGCTCAGAGTCACCCGGGGTAGGAGCCGGGGTTTGTCTTTGTAATATATAGAAAGAGGAGAGAATTTCTATCAATGACCCAGCATGTGCCTTCTCCAAGCCATCTGCCTCACCCGGGGCAGGGTGTAGGCCCTCTCTGACCTCAGTTTCCCCATCTGTAAGACGTTGAGCTTGGACCCGTGTGAGGGCCCTGCCCACTCTCCATCCCAGGACTCTGCCCATCCCCTCTTTGTCCCATTTGCTGCCAAAGCTAACACCAAGCCCTCCTGGCAGAACACTGGAAACTCTGGGCTGGAGTAAATCATGGTCAGCTCCCTGCTGGCCTGACCTCAGATTCCTAAAATATCTCAGGGCCACACTCTATCTGCAGGATCCCAGCTGCTCCTGGGCCAAGTGGACCCTCCCGCTTCCTGTGCTCCTGCCGCTGGGGGCAGTGGGAGGAGGACGGAGCCTCTCCAAAGTGGGCCTGGCCCCAGGGCCCCCTCCCCATCCCCGAGACCCCCGGGGCTCCCTGCCTTCTCGGCCAGCCCTGGCACAGTCCCGCGCTTCCTGAAATCCTGGCTTCGCTTTCTGTCTGATTGCTTCTGGCTGGGTTGTTTGCTCTCCCCACGGAACACGGCCTGGGCCCCAAGCCCAGCTCATTTACTTACTGGCTGCATGACCTTGGACAAGTCCTATCCCTTCCCTTCCCGGAGATGGAGTGTCCCCTGCCAAAGGGGGCCAGAAGCTTAGAGTTCATTCCACTTCTAAATCCTATAACTGCCTTTTTAAGGGGAGGGCTGCGTCTGCTCTCTCATCTCCCCCCAACAGTGCCTAGCCTGGGGCAAGCCTGGGAGTGTTTCCAGATTTACAAAGGGCCTTTTTACCACAGTCCTTTCAGGTTCCTCTCTAAATGAGAGCATTAATTATGATTTTCATTTTATTGAGGAGGAAATGGGGGTCCAGGTGAGAGGGAGGGTCTCACCTGAGGGCACACAGCCTCAGGATTTGAACTCAAACCCTGCCCCCCTCCTCCCAGCCCTAATGTAGCATCTCTGCACTAAATCCCATTTCCTCGCACGGGACGCTGGGATCACAAATCAAACTGATAACGCCATCACCAGAACCCAAGACTGGAGCCCACTGTCGCCCCACTGTGTGCACCCCTCAGGGCTGATGTGAAAAAGATGGGAAATGGCTCATGAAATGGGGGCTCGTCCCAGTTTTCTTTACCCTGGCCCAAAGTGTCAGCAGGGGTAGAAACGGGACTTCATATCAACCCAAGGAAAGGATGAGTCCCTCGGAGAAAGGGTGGAGTTGGGGGCCAGCCCCGACTCTGCCGCAAGGGTCCTGGCCTTCCTGAGCCCCTGAAGCCCTTCGAGGTCACTATCTGAGGACCCGCCCCCAGGATGGCCCAGAGACCCAAGACTGAGGGAAGCGAGGGGGCACAGTGAGGGATAAAGGCCTGAATTCCCCATGCTCCTCTCTCCTTTGGGCTAAGGCATTGAAGGTCCCCGTGAAAAAGCACTGGGAGAGAGATCACAGTCAGCTGCGATCGGCAGTTGTGCCGATCCTCCCTTAGTGAGGATTCCAGCACCAAAGCTTGGCCCCAAAGAAGAGAAAACTCCACACTCCCCCCCTTCCTTGCAGAGGTGGGACGTTGCGGGTCTGGAACGCTGCATATGCCATCAGACTTGGTCCGTGCATTGGTTAGTTTCGCTGATTGGTGTTTGCCCATTTTAAAAAAACTCTTTGTAACAACCGAAGGCTCTCTGGGTAGGAGAGGGAGAAGGGCTATGCTGGGAATGCAGGTGAGGAGAAAATGAAAGAGACCAGTAAAAATACAGGAGTGAGAATTATTGATCAGTTGAGCCCTGAGGGATCAGACAGTCAACAAACACTTATTAAGTGCTTACTACTAGGTGCCACGTACTGTGCTGAGCTCTGGGGATACAAGAAGAGGTAAAAGACAGCCCTGCTCTCCTGGAGCTCTCAGTCTAACGGGGCGGGGTGGGAAAAATAGGCTGTTTTTTTTTGCCTCTTTTGTATCCCCAGCACTTAGAACAGTCCTTGGCATACAGCAGGTGCTTAATAAATGTTGATTGGTATAAATAACTAGATGCATTGATGGTAAAGACAGCAGCTGGGGGACAGGGAATGGCCTCCAGCAGAAGGTGGGATTTGAGGTAAAACTTGAAGGTTTCAGGGAGGCGTCAGGTGAGGAGGGAGAACCTTCCGGGCCTAGACAACAGCCACGGCAAATGCTCAGAGTCTAGAGATGGACTGTGGTGTGCAGGGAGCAGCAAGGCACCTGGTGAGGCTGGGCTGGAGAGTGCAGGGAGTGTAAGGGGTGAAACTGGAAAGGCAGGAGGGGGCCAGGTGGCCTTGAGATGTCCAGGGAGGGTGCCTTGGAGGGTGGGGTTTACTGGAAGGAAAGGAAGGCCTGGCGCCTGAGGCAGGGAGAAAGCTGCCTTTCCTCTGAAAATGCCCAGAGCTGCCACTGGCTGTCGCCTCACCTTGGGAGAGCCCTTAGCGGTCCAGGGACAGGGCCCGGTCATCAGCGGCCTGCCCTCGGACACCCACCAGGCGGCCTCCGAGCATCCCCGGGGGCCAGGGGCCCCCTCTGTGACCCTGTTCCCAGCATCCTTCCTGCTCCCCACATATGAGGGGGAGTTACAATGGCACAGCAAGAAAGAAGAAACCTCTCAGAAGGATTTATCTTGTTAGCACGGTGTTCGGTATCCAGTAGGTGCTTGATACATGCTTGCTGATGTTTGAAAGGCAGTGTGGGCCAGTGGAGAGGGCACTGAACTTGGGGCCAGAAAGCCCTGAGTTCAAATTCAGCCTCAGGCACTAGCTGCATCACCCTGGCCAAGTCTCTTAGCCTCTGTGCCTCGGTTTCCTCATCTGTCAAATGAGGGGGTTAAACTCAATGACCTCTAAGGTCTCTTTCTACTCTAGATCTACAGTCCTATGACTAATAACTGTTAATTAATTATGTGCTACATATTAATATATTAATTCTATGTTAAATATGTTATTAATAATTAATGACAACCAGCATTTATATAGCACCTTAAGGTCTGCAAATATGATCTCATTTAGTCCTCACAACAACAACAACTAATATTTACATAGCACCTACTATGTGCCAGGCACTGCGCTAAGTGCTTTACAATTATCTCATTTGATTCTCGCAACAATCCTGGGTGGTACGTGTTATGATTACCCCCATTTTACAGATGAAGGAACTGAGGCAGAGAGCGATTAAGTGACTTGTCCAGGATCCCACAGCCAGTGAGGGTCTGAGGCAGGATTTGAAATCAGGTCTTCCTGATTGACAACTGGTTATCCCACCCTAACAGATTCCTTTCCTTGCCAAGAGAACTCCCCCCGAGGTCCATCCCCCACTTACTATCCATAGAGAGGCAATGTGATCCCAAGAGGGACTCAGGTTTAAATCCGCAGCTCTGTCACGCTCTCTGGGTGACCCTGGACCAGTCATTTACCCCCACCCCCACCTTCTCCTCCATTTCCTCATTGATAAAACGCAAGTTTCGGACTAGACAATTCTTAGGTCCCCTCCAGAACTGAATCTAGAATCTTGTGTCTACCAGACCCTAGGCCTGCACAGGTTGGCTCTTTCTCCTGCTTCCTCTGTTAGCCGTCTCTCTCCAGAACGCCCAGAAGGAGGGCTTAAACATGGAGGTGGGGAGGGGGAAGCTTAAGCGATGTGTGGAGGCGCCGCCCTCCCCCTGACACACACACACACACACACCACACACACACACACACACACACCCCCAGCCAAGGCCCAGGCCTGAACAAGAATCCCATCTAAGACCCACAGAGCTGAAATCTCCCTCCCTGCTAACTTTCACTGGTTGTCCCCAGGGGTCCAGGGGAATAAATCAGTCCTTCAGACCCTGATGATGGCCACCCATCTCCCCTCCACCAGGGGCAGCAGAGAGACAGCAGCTAGTGGGAGTAGAGCCGCTGGAGCTGTCCACGGCTGAAGCCACATCCCGGCTTCTGGGCCATGGGTCACAGTCAGACCCTCGGCTCAGCTCACACCAGGCTGGACAAGGACCTCATCCTTTGGAACCCCCCCCCCCCCCCCCCGCCCTGCCCCGAAGCAGACTGCTTCTTGTCCAGGCCCAATCATGCTGATATTTCCTTGCCGACCGGTCCCTAGATCTTCCAGCCTTGAGTCTGACTTGTTTTTGATTTTATTAAGATAACTCAGCTTCCTGCTCCGGCCTCTCATTTCAATCAATCAAGTCAATACAATAAGCATGTATTAAACTCCTAATGTATGCTCGGCTCCGGGCAGGCAAAGACAGAGTGAAACCTGCCCGTTTCCTCAGAGAACTGACAGCCCAGCTGGGGGTGATGACATGTAACGTCATAGGCACATACAAGCCAGATGCAAGGGGATTGGGTGGAGAGCAGCAGACCCCCACCTGGGGGGTCAGCAAAGGATTCATGGATAGGCAGTCAGCAGGGTGCAGTGGATGGAGTGCTGAAGACCTGGGGTCAAATTCTGACTCAAGATGTTTATTACCTATGTGATTGGGGAAGCCACTTAACGCCTCTGTGAGACTCAGTTTGCTCATCCACAAAATGGGGCCAATAATAACACCTATCTCACATGGCTATTGTGAGGGTTAGTACTCTGCTGACTAAACATATAACTGATCTTTCTAGTAATAGATCTATAATTCTATGTGTGACCTTGGACAAGACAGCTGTCCTCCCTAGGCCTCAGTTTCCTTCTCTGTAAAATGAGAGGGTCGGACTTAATGGCTTTTAGGGTCCCTTATGACTTTAGGGCCCTGAGGACCTAGAGGGCTGCTCTTGGGCAGAGATTCCCCCAGAAAGACGGTGCCCTCCCCCACCCCACCCCCAGGGCTGGCATCGCCCTTGGCCCCATCCAGGCTCTGTCTCTAGGCCAGAGCCAAGCAGGGCCCATGCATCATCCCCTCTGCTCTCCCACCCCTACCTGGGGCACTCTGGGCCAGAGACAGATACTGCAGAAAGGAAGCTGGCCTCCAGGAACACCATCACCATGGCAACAGCAGCATCCCTCCTGGGCTGAGCCTCTGGTTCCTTGGACCCCTTCCCTCCCTCCATCTCTCAGCATTGACCTGCTTTCTGAAGTGAGCACTGACAAAGACCAGTGAGGAAGGAGCCCTGACACCGGGAATGTGCCTGAGGAGAGGGGGCAGGAGCGCCGAGGGCCCAGGGCCAGCTTACAATACCTCCCACTTATAGAGCACCTCTCAAGTGACAATAGCGCCCCAGCTCCCATTTCTCTGTCTTTTTAAGGTGTTCAGAGCTTGTTCAAAACTAGTACAAGGATTATTTTCCCCATTTGATAGGAGAAGAAAGAGGCTCAGTGCCCAGGATTGAGCTGACCACCCACGGTTACACCAGCTGGAGAGTCAAACCTGGGTCTCCTGCTTTGGGGCCCAGGACTCTGCTTTCCCACTACACCCCACTTTCCTCCCAAGTAACCCGCGGAGCAGGGGCATCTTCACCTTTGCTGGGTCACTGACCCCTTGGACACTCAGTCCAGTGGAGCAGGGCCCTTGGACAATCCCTTCTCAGAATCATGTTGTTAAATGCACAAAGTAAAATACAAAGATTATAAACCAATCACATTGAAATACGATGATCAAAATATTAACAAAGAAAGTTTATGGACCGCCAGTGAAGAGCCCCCTCTGCAGAGGCGCACTTTATAATAATGACAATGATAAGACAGCCAGGCAGCTCAATGGGCAGCGCAAGAAGACCTGAGTTCAAATCCCACTTCAGACACCTATTAGATGTGTGGCCCTGGGTAAATCACTAAGCCTCTCTGCCTCAGTTTCCTCATTGGTAAAATGGGGAAAATAATAGCATCTGTCTCCTAGAGTTGTTGCAGGAACTAAATGAGATATTTGTAAAACACTTTGCAAACCTTAACGCGTTGCTAGCTATTACTAGAAAGAGAGGCAACTGTGGTAAAATGGATAGGAATCTGGTTTCAGAACCAGAGGAACTGAGTTCAAATCATGCCTCTGATCCAACCTGGACCTGTTTCTCCCTCTATAAAAGAAAGTGGATGGACTACACAGCATAGGCCCAAGGCCTGCCTTTGATGCATGGCCCTAGGCAGGTGACTTGGGCAAAATAAATCAACCCAGGGGCAGTTAGGTCGCACAGTGGATAGAGCACCAGCCCTGGAGTCCGGAGGTCAAATCCGGCCTCAGACCAAACACTTACTAGCTGTGTGACACTGGGCAAGTCACTTAACCCCAATTACCTGACCAAAAAAAAAATAAAATAAAATAAATCAACCCAATGGACCACACCTGCCAATGTATGCCTCTCACCTCTTTGAAGAGAAGTCATAATAATAATACTAATAACTAGCATTTATATAGTGCTTACTGTCAGGTGCTGTTCTAAGCACCTTCACAAATATTACTTCATTTGATCCTAACAACAGACCTGGGAGGCAGGTGCTATTATTATCTTAATTTTACAGTTGAAGAAACTGAGGCAGACAGAAGTGAAGTGACCTGCCCAGGCCACCCACCTAGTTAGTGACTGAAGCGAGATTTGAACCCAGGTCTTCTCAATTCTATGCCCAGCACTCCATCCACTGAGTCACTAGCTGCCCCTCCATAACAATAATGATGGCCCCTAGGCATGGAAGGAGCCATCGCTGCAGACCTGGCCCCATCGTACTTATCTGTTAGCTTGCCGACCCGTTGTTAGAAGGGAAGATTATGGGGTATTGTAAGGAGGAGTCGCCTGGACGTGTTAGAGAAGAGAACCACCATATGTAACATTTAAAAATTCAGTATTTCTAATGTTGTAATAGTCTGTCATTTTCAGATTGTGTATTTCTAAGGTTCTAGATTCGAATCTCCTATATTTCTAAGGTTTTGAGAATCTGTGTTTCAGCTGTTTTAACATTCTAAGGTTCTAGCAATCTGATTTTGTGCTTCTGAAGTTCTAGATTCCAGCATTTAAAGTTCTGTATTTCCAGTGTTCTAAGAGAGACACAAAAATATGAGTTCAAAGCCCAGAATCTTAAAACTTCAGAGGGTCTTCAGTTTGGAAGCATTAGAACCTTAGAACCTCATATTCAACCAGCAGCTTCTGACATGGGAGGCAGCCCGATGTCCTGCCTGGCGCTTAAGCCAGAGGACCTGGGTTCCAATCCCACTTCAGCCACTCCCATTATCTCTAACCTGTGAGACCTTGGGCATGTCTTTGGGTCTCGGTCTCCTCTGCTGTAAAACAAGGGGTTAGATTACTTGTTTGTCTCCTTTCCTTTGAAATCTGCCTTCACTGGGGGAGACAAAGAGTATCTACTCTCAGCTCACCTCCTCTCTTCATGGAAGAGCCGGGATCACCACTGTCATCGCTGATAGGCTGTACAGAGCACGCTAAGGTTTGTAAGGTGCTTTGCATCTGTCATCTCACTTATCCCCACAACAACCCTGGGAAGTGGGTGATATGATTATCTCCATTTTACCAATGGGGAAACTGAGGCAGACTGAGGTTAAGTGACTCATCCAGGGTCTTCCAGCTAGTAAGTGTCTAAGGCAGGATTTGAACTCAGTGTTGCTGACTCCACGAGCAGTGCTCTGTGGTGACCCAGTTGCCTTCTAAGGGACAGCTCAGGGTGACAAGCAGCAGGCAGAGTCCTGAGAACTACCCTGGTTGTGATAGGGACTCCCCTTTATCAGGGGTCTTTAGCCAGAGCCCTGAGGACTTTGCCGGCTCTGGGGCAGAGGGGATCCTTAGCCAGCTAAGAGTGAGGTCAGCTGCCCTCCTTCCCTCTGGGGGTCATTTCCAGTTTCTCCTGTATGCAGCAAACAAGGTTGTCTGCTAGCTGTGTCCCACGTTAGGGGCTGTCTTTTGCCTTTCTTTGTATCCCCAGTGCTTAGCACAGGGCCTGGCACACAGCAGGTGCTTAATAAAGGTTTTTTGCCTGGACCCCCGACTTCTGAGGGTCCATCTAGCTCAGAGACGAGACGGGGACTCTCAAGGGGTGAGGACCCCCAAATTCTGGGTTTGTCCACGCACCCAGAGCCGGCACCCCTGGTGATGGGCAGGGAATCTGGGAGGGCAGCAGGAACGCCCAGGATGTCCCCCCTTCTCCAGACCCCATGGCTCCCAGCGGCCCCTGCTTACCTTTGGCCGACTCAGATCTCTTGGGTAAGTCAAGGGTATCAAAGTTCCTGTCCATGCCCCCATTCTTTTTTCCTGTAAAAAAGCAAACCAAAACAAAGAAAGGGTGAGAAGGTCCCTTCCAGGCCCACATGGGCCATGATGGCCCATCCATCATTCTCATGGCCTGGCCTTTGGGCAAGTGCCCAACAGTCCTGGTGACGGGAGGTCCCTTCCCTCAGTGAAAGAACATGACGCCAATGAAGAGGACCACAGGGAGCATGCCCACATGATAAACAGACCACAGACTTACAACCAAAGGGATCGGGAGGTCTATCCAGGAAAAGGCTGCAGCTGATTAAGGAAGCCAGGGAAGGCTCCCTGGGGGAGGGAGATTCAGGACAGGGAGGAATTCATCAGGTGGACTTGGTGGGGAGGGCGTTACTGGAGTAGGAACGGTGCTGGCCAAAAGCGGGGAGATGGGAAAGCATAGGACGTATGTAGGAGAGGGAGAGAGCTCTCCAAGCTGGCTGGAGAACAGCAGGAATGTGCGCTGAGGCTGGAAAGGTAGGGGGTGGGGCACCAGAGGACAGACAGACTTGAACACCAGGTCCAGGAGTTTGTGTTGGATCTGGCAGGCAGTAGGGAGGCGAAGGAGGCTCTTGAGCAGAGGAGTACCACCAGCTCTCCCCCTCGCATTCCTCTTCCAGAGCCTCAGTCAGGGAGCCCTGGGGAGGGCCGAGTCATCCCGTCATCAGCCTGGGTGGTCCCTGGAGCAGGGCTGATGTCAGAAGGCAGGGCTAGCCCCTGCACCAGGCGGAAGGGCTGGGGAGCCGTCAGCAGATTCCTGGAGGTGGGACCTGGAGCCCAGGGTGGACAAAGTGTTCCTAATGGGTCAGGGGAATGCTGGATCTGAAGACTCAGAGCCAGAAGGAGCCCTCCTCGATCCCGAAGTCTATAGTTTAAAGGGATCCAGTGAGGGATGCGTGTGGCTGCCATGGACTCTCGCTGTGTGACCCTGGGACCCTCCTTTCCCTCTCTGGGCTCGGCTTTCCCATCCTCATCAAACGAAGGGGGCTGGCCTCATCGTGGGACTTGGGGCTGGATGGGTATCTTCTGGTCTGGAAATGAGTTATCTCCAAGCTTAAAGCCGATGAAACATTGAATGACCAGAGGAGGTGCTCAGGGGGAGGGGGATGGGCTGCAGCCAGAGGGTGAGTCTGGGGGACGACACAGTGCCTGGCATACAGCAGGTGCTTAATGCTTGTGGACTGACTGATAGACAAAAGAGACGCTGGACTGTTGGCCCTGGGGAGGGGGCGGGCAGGAGGAGAGGTGACCAGCTGTAGCTACTTCCAAGGCTGACTCTGTCTCCCCCACCACGGCCTGTGGAGGTTGGTACTAGAAGGGTCCCCATCGTACAGATGAGAAGACTGAGGCTCAGAAAGTCTAAGCTGACCGACAGATTGAAGTGACCTTCCCATGGACCACAGCTGGGGAGCGATGGAGCCCAGGAAAGGATGGAGATAAATGGGATCCATTTTACAGATGAGGAAGGGAAGAGACTGGACCACAGTCACCAACCACTAGGTGTCTGGGGCAGGGCTTAAGCCCGAAGAGGGAAGCCAAAGTCCCCTCCTCACCCCCCTCCCCCATCTGGATCCTTCCACACCAGGCCCTGGCTCAGGCAGGCAGAATGCAGCATCCGGGGCCTGAGGGGCAGAATCAGGTCAGCCCGGCTAGGACTGAGCCAAAGGGACAGGGGGGAGGGGGTGAGGAGACCCCCCCATGCCTGTGTTACATCCAGAGGGGCCCTCCCCACCCCCGCTGACACAGGGATCGCCCCAGGCAGGGCCCGGAACCTCCTCTGAGGCTATATGGACTTCGGGTAGAGACTGATTAGTTCAGCCCTTCTATCCCAAGCATCTGATCTCAAAGTGAGGAATACAGACCAATGGAGCTTGTATTATGCCTCATGGAGCATTCCAGAATCACATCAGTCATCTGGTCCACCCCACCCCCCGTATTACAGAGAAGGAAACTGAGGCCCAGCACAGCACGTTGAAGGATCATGGGGGACTCTTAGATCAGCAGAGTCAAGTTGTAGGGGTCCTTAAGATCACTTAGAGCAGAAGCCTCTCCTTTTACAGAGAAGGAAACTGAGGCCCAGCACAGCACGTTGAAGGATCATGTGGGACTCTTAGATCAGCAGAGTCAAGTTGTAGGGGTCCTTAAGATCACTTAGAGCAGAAGCCTCTCCTTTTACAGAGAAGGAAACTGAGGTTCAGAAACACTAAAGGATTTGTCCAAGATCATACAAGAAGGAAGAGTCAGACCTAGGATGTGAACCCAGATCCTCTGAAGTTAAGAGACTTCCTGCTGGCATGATGTGTCACAGAATGTCAGGGCTGGGAAGGGCCAGAGAACAGGGGATGTCAGAGCAAGGGGTGGTGGGAACCTCAGAACAGGGGATGTCAGGACTGGGAGAAGCCTCAGAATAGGGAACAGCAAAGTTGGGAGGGGCCTTAGAACAGGGGATGGCAGGGCTGAGAGGGGTCTTAGAACGGGGGATGGCAGGGCTGGGAGGGGCCTTAGAACACAGAACATCAAATGACATAACTGAGAGGGATGTTAGAACGTGAAACATCAGAGCACAAGTCGGAGTGGGGAAGGCCCTCAGAACACAGAACAGAGACTGCCAGAGCTGGAAGGGGCCTCGGGCTATGCTTCCATGGGCTCCCCAGAGTACCAGTGGTCATTGAGTCTGAGCCACAGCACGACACGTGTCCCCTCTCCCACACTCCCCCCAAGGTTCCCCCAGCCTCGGCTTGCAGATGTCTCCTGGGGGGCGAGGTGAGCTCCCTCCCAGGGCGGCCCACACCACGCAGGGATGGCTCACATCCTGAGGGGCCTTTTGCTGACATTGCCTTGGCCTGCATTCCCCTCAGAACAAGGTCAATCCCCCTTCCTCAGCTTGAATCATCCCTTGGTATGATTCTTCAATTCCCTTTCAATCTTCTGGTTCCCTTAGACACTGCTGGCATGACCTGAACTCTGGACTCTTCATCACTCCATTGCCTTCCTCCCATTCTAGTGAATTCCTTCCTTTTACAGGTGAGGAAACTGAGGCCAAGAGAGAGGAAGCAACAGGGTGGAGGAGTTACAGAGCCAAGAACAGGACGTAGGGGCCCTGGCCCCCAGCCGGGGTCTTCCCTCGAGGCAGTGAGCGAGGGTCCTCTCTGGAAAGCCCCTGCCTCTTCCCTGACATCCACTGTGTGCTGGTGATTGAATCCACCAAGAAAAGGAATTCATGAAAGTGTATTTGGTTGGATTGAACTCCCAGAGTTGGTGAGGAAACTGGGGCAGACAGGTTAAATGACTTGCCCAGGTTCATACAGTTAGCAAAAGGCAGAGGTGGGATTTGAACTCAGGTCTCCCTGACTTCAGAACCAGTGCTCATTTCACAGTCCATACCACTTGCTGTGTGGGTATATGATCTCCAACAGTCCTTGCCATCTGCCCTGTCTGCCCCTTGAGAAGAAACCTCGTCCCTCTCCTCCTGCAACCCCGGGGAGCCAATGTGGATCTCAGCTGGGGCTGAGTTACCCAGATCAGAGAGAGGATGAGTCAATCTTCCCATGAGTCCTAGATTATCAGGTCTTCACGCCCCCCCCCAGGCAATCCCCAGGACCCCAGAGTCTAACCAGCACCAGCATCTCACTGCCTGCTTGCTCTATGGTTCCACTCACTTTCCTGTGATATTGACTGCCTAGCCCTGAGCTCTCTGACATGACGATACTGCATGCCCCCAGTACCAGATTCTTAACCTGGCACCCATATTATATTCCAATAGAATTGGTGTCCTTTGTAATCCTATGTATTTTGCCTTCTGCACTGAAGTCCTCTGCTGAGCAGGAGTCCTGGGCTTCGCCAAGCTTACTGCCCTGGGGCTGGAGCACCTGCCTTAGTTAGGCAAGCACTGTCTCACTCCTGTCTTTGTACCTCCAGAGTCGAGCATAGTGCTCGGCACACAGTAGGTGCTTAATAAATGCTTGCTAATTAATTTGGTCCTTTCAAGTTCTAAATCCTAAGATGTGAAGACATGAAGGCCTATAACCTGAGGGAGAGCTGGAGCGGTGTAAGTGCAAACTGACAGCCTGCCTTGGAGTTAGGAACACCTGTATTCAAGTCCCGCCCTGACACATACTAGCTATGTGGTTGGAGCAAGTCACTATGTCTCTCAGTGACTCAGATGATTCTCTGAGATTGCTGATCAGCAGCAGCAGAGGGAGATTCCATGCCTGGAGTTCCCCAACTAATGCAATCATGGGTCCAAGCTTCTCCTTAACTCCCTAGGTAGGTTCTGGGGACCTAGAATGTTGACCCCCTCCCAAAGTCTAGAGCATCACTATGTCCCTGGGGCAGGGGGGCAGAGGAGCAAGGTTTGATTTGAAACATCTGAGCTCCACTGGCACATGTATTTTTCCCATCTGGAAAAGACCTTGGAGTCCAACCTCCATTTTACAGATGAGGACACTGAGGCTCAGAGTGACCTGTCAAGGGCCACCCAGATGAGAAGTGTATGAGGCAGGATGCTAACTGCTTGCTGGCAACGCCTGCTTTCCTCATGGGTCCCTGCTCACCCAGGAAGCTTCAAACTGAGAATCTGGTCTCCCCAGTGGCCACATCTCCCCGGTGCTGACTTCCACCAAAGGTGTGACCCAGGCTAATACAGTTCATCCGTGTTGTGTTTTGTCTCTCTCTGTGTTGGCCACAGACCACAACCCTCCTGGGAAGGAGCAGATGAGTCTCAGGGAGACACCTCTCAGGGAAGTCCCATCAGACCCTTAGGTGCCCCTTACTCTGAGCCCATGTCTCAGTGGGCTGTGCCCTGCTGCCTCTCACCCCCATTCTACACATGAGGAAACCAAGGCTGAGAAAGACAAACTGATCTGCCCAGGCCAGTCAACTAGTAAGTCTGAGACAGGCTGATTCCAGGAATTCCTGACTTGTGGCCAGCATCCCAGGTGATACCAATTGGCCCCTCCTCCTAATCTTCCACACGCGATAACTCAGTCTGAGAGTGGTCAAACTAC